GAAGTCGGACGCTTAACTGACTGCGCCACCCAGGTGCCCCTCAATCCTGTTTTAAAAGGCAGTTAATTTGCTTAGCGTAATTAATAGATGCCAGTTATTAAGGTGGCCAAAAACTAAAATTAATTTTCAAAAGCACTCTTTATGATGGAGGTCCTAACCAGCGTACTAAGGCGAGAAGAAAAATAGAGAAGTACGAGGACTAGGATGGAAAAAAACCAAATCTGTCCCTATTCACGCACGGTGCGATGGTGGACTGGGAAAATCTAAAGGAATCTGCAGGATGAGTCTTAGAATCCGTAAGAACTGCTAGTATGGGCAAGGATGTTAGTTACATATACACACGCCCACAACTGTGTTCCATACACCAGCGAAGCGACATGAGAAAATACATTTTTAAACATGGTAACATTGACAACTGCTTTCAACAGTCAAGCACCCGGGAATAAACCCAACAAAAGCTGTACGAGCCCTCTGTAGGAGAAAAACCACAAACGCCTCACTGAAAGGAAGCAGAGAAGACCTAGTCAAGTCCTGATGAAAATCCCGGCGGCTTATTTCACGCGTTTGTTTTTGCGGGACTTGACAAGTTGATTTCTAAACTGTGTGAGGCAAGGCAAAGGGTCAAGAGGTGCCAGGACACCTCTACGAGCAGCAGTGTGGGAGGACTTGCTCCACCAGACGTGAGACCGTATTATTATAAAGCAGCAGTGATGGAAACGGTGTAGGGCTAGCACAAGGAATAGACCCAGATCCAGATTCTTCATTTATGACAACTGTGGCACTTCAAAGCAGAGCGCGGGATTTTCAATACATAAATAGCATCCTCAATAAATGCTATTTGGGGTAGTGGGCTGTCCATATGGGGAAATGGAAGTTGGACTGTCTGTCACACCGTGCACAAAAAATCACTTCCATGTGGGCTGGAAAGAGGAACGTGAGACAGTAAAGCTGTTAGAAGATACAACAGAATACGTTTACGACCTCCGGGTAAAAGAAAAAAAGATTTCTTAGGCAAGGTAGGCACCAAAAAACAAAACAAAACAAAACAAAACAAAACAAAACAAAAACAAAACCCACTAATTATAAATGAAAGATCATTTTCATTAAAACCAAGAACTTGTAAGTTCATCCGAAGATGCCACTGAGAGAGCAGAGAGGCAAGCCGCAAGTGGCAGAAGGGATTTCCAGCACACGTGACTAACAGAGGCCTGGTATCTAGAACGCACGTAGAGCTCCTATAAGTCCGTAAGAGAAAGAGAACCCGCTCAAAAATGGGCAAAGATTTAAATGCACGAGCATACATAAAAACTGCTCATGGCAATGCTACCCGCAGTAACCCCAAACTAGAGACAGCTCAAATATCCCTCGACCATAGAACTGGTAAAGCAACTGTGCAGTAGGTTCATACAATGGGATGCTATACACTAATGAAAACAAACAAACTTCACCGACGCGCAGCAACATGAATAAATAAACCTTAATACTGTGGTGAAGAAGCCAGAACAAAAAGAAACAGGACAATTCGATTTATGTAAAGTTTTTTAGAAATAGGTAAAGCTAAATTACCCCACTTAGAGACGCATACATGGGTGGTAAAACTATTTTTAAAAAGAGGAGACAAGGGGGAACCTAGGTGGCTCAGTCGGTTAAGCGTCCAACTCTTGATTTCAGCTCAGGTCACGACGTCACGGTTGGTGAGTTTGAGCCCCATGCCGGGCTCTGTGCTGACAGTGCGGAGCCTACTTGGGATTCTCTCTCTCTCTCAAAATAAATAAATCAACTTAAAAAGATAAAAAGAAGAAACAAAAGTCAAGGTAGCGGTTTCGGTGGGCGGGGGGCAAGGAGTCGTGATTTGGAAGCGGCACACGGAAGGCTTCTGGGGTCCTGGCTGTGTTTTAGTTCTTGAACTGAGAAAGGCTGACTGAGTATCCTCTTTACAATATTTTGTTAAGAGAATACGTTTTTAATTTTTATGTACTTGTCCAAAGTGTTTATTTCACATTTTACCATGTCTCTCAAAAGTGTGATTGGCAATGGGGCGCCTGGGTGGCTCAGTCGGTTAAGCGTCCGACTTCGGCTCAGGTCATGATCTCGCGGTCCGTGAGTTCGAGCCCCTCATCGGGCTCTGTGCTGACAGCTCAGAGCCTGGAGCCTGTTTCAGATTCTGTGTCTCCCTCTCTCTCTGACCTTCCCCCGTTCATGCTCTGTCTCTCTCTGTCTCAAAAATAAATAAACGTTAAAAAAAAATTGGCAGGCTGATTTGGAAACCACTGCTGTGATCTACTAGAACGGCCAAACGAGAAAGTCTCATAATCTGCAGTAATCTGAATGCTATGAATCCGAATACTTGTGGTACATTAGTCGATGACGTTAATGGTGGCAACGACTGGGGAGTCTATACCTGCAAAACTGTTTTTCCCAAGAATTTCAAAATTGGGCCTTTTGTCAAACAACGATATCGCTGGCTAGTTAACTGCAGTAAATCCTGACACTTCACGAGCAGATGGGTGAAACAGACACCGAAGGAAATGGCAACTCTTAGCAAGAACTGCGAACAAAACGCCCTGATCGAGTGGTCACAGACAAGAATGCTGCCACAGATGTGGTATAATGATTGCCTTGAAATAACTCAAAGTTCAGATGCTTCGAATGTATCACCTTTCAGGACGCAATTCGCTTCTAGCTTCAGAGCTGCTCCGCTCCTCTAGAAAGGCCGACTGAGTAAAGTGGCAAGGAACAGGTGGAGTAGATTTCACTTGCTATTCTGGGTGCCTGTAAAACTGTTTTTCATACAAATTAACTTTGTACATTGATAGGCGGTAATGAGGATTAGTTCCGCTTTACTATTGAGGAAATTAAGACTCAGGTTAGATGACTTGCCCAAGGTCACACAGCTAGCTAGGAAACAGCAGGGCTTGGGAAGTAGAGTCACATCTGATTCCCTCTGCACTCCGTGACACGGCTGTGAGCATGTGCACATCTGGAACAGACATCATCTATCCGTGTGTACCTACACGTACTGACAACATAGTTTTCTCTGTCCCTCTCTGTCTCTCTCCCTTCCCTCTCGCCCCACTCCAGAGAGAGAGAGAACTCCATAGAGAGAGAGCTCGAAATAGGAATATACTCGAATTCCTCTCCCTTTTATTTACCGCTTTAGGTAATGATTTCAGAAAACACGTCAGGGAGGCATTTATAAATCAGAGTAGAGCCGGATTTTCTCACAAGAAAGCATTTTACATTGTCACAGCGGTGGAGTAAACAATAGTAATAATAAATGCTTTCAGTTAGATGTCAGCCCGGATAAAATGCTTGGCTTGTCTGGAAATAGCTATCTTTGCCCACCAGTTACATCCTTGTATTGTGTTCTTTTGGTGCTATCAAATGAGAGTGAAGAAGGAATAAGAAGGAGGGGGTGGAGAGAGGGAAAGAGAGAGAGAGAGGGAGGGAGGGAGGGCAGGAAGGAGAGAGACGGTGAGGGGGTGGGGGGAAGGGAACCGGCTGCTTAACGCCCAGCTATTCGAGTGGCTAAAACGAGGTTAAATACAAAGTTTTCATTGCGATTGACAAAGAGGTCACTGGGCCATTAGGTAACTGGTTCAAAAATCACACATGCTTGCTCCACATCTCAAAATAGCCTTGTCACCCCAAAGGCGCTGTTCCACACCAGCCCCAGAGGTGCCCCCCCACCCACCCCAGCGGCGAGAGGCTCCCACCTCCGTAGATCTCAAGGGAGGGGTTTCGGTCACTAAAGACTGAGGAGCAGAGTTCTGAGGCGTTGGAATTAGGAAGCAGCCTCCCTCGACGGAGCTCTGCCAATCCAGCCAGCGGGACTCGGCGATTATCAAGTGTCTCATTAACGCACGCTCCAGTTACCGTTCCATTCGTCTTTTCCGCCCCTTTCCCTGCGAGACACGGAAGCCGCTCCCGAGTGTCTCTCCAGAGCCAGGCCGGCTTCACGCTCCAACTTGTCTTCTACCGATGCGGTGCCGCGGGACTGGATTTCATTCTAGAAACTTGCGCAGGAGGTGCAAATGTCTAGTTTTGTGACCCAGCAGATGGTCTGAAGATATCTCAACCCTTAGCCGCCCTCTCCCCCTGCCAAAGACAAGTGAGGGTCGTGATAGAAGCCGGTACGGATCCCAATGACAATAAAAAGGAAAAAAAAAAACCACTAGCGGGTTGGAAGCAGGAAGTCTGTCAGGGCTGTGTTCAGACCAAGGCATGTCTGTGAAACAGCCTTGTCAACATCTGATTTCCGCCTTGCAGACAAACCCTGCTGGAGGGGGAACTACGTGCTTGTGACCAAGGGCTAGGGCCTTCAGAGCCTCGAGGTCACAAACGCTCTCCGGACTTGGCAGGTTTCTCGGCACCCTAAAGCGGCTGGAGTCCCCCTATAACTTCCTAGGCCTATCTGACAGTTGCCCCCAGACAAAGATGGGCTTTTGTTCTGAAGCCTCACTCAGAGCAGAGGGGCAGGATAAGGGAAGTGAAGGCTTTTAAACTCAGGGCGAGCAAACCAGAAGGGGGGGTCTCATCCTCCTGGTGTTTATTTCTCGGAGCAAATTTCTAACCCTTCTCCGAAGCTCCCTGTTGAGATCGGGGACAAACAACACGGAAGGGAGAGAGCGGAGGAACCAGAACAAAAGAACTCCAACCTCGGGGTTGTGAGTCCTCAGCGAAAACACAAACAGGATGAGTCTGTGTGTTTGGTTTTGCTGGCTTCGCTGGATGTCGGGAGGGGCGTGAAGAGGAGGGTGAGTCCGGCGAGGACTCGGGCTCTCTGAGCAAGCTGAACCAAGTCTGTCGAAGTCTGACACCTGGAAGACCGCGGCTCACATCGCAGGCTTAGAGCCTCGATGGCAAAGGCCCATTTCTCTGCTTGGCCAGGACCCGCCTACTGCTTTGTTGTGAGGGGGAGAGGGAGATGGCAAAAGGGAACTGGTTACATAACCCACCTCACTGTCGCCCCCTCCACCCGAACCTCCCGTATTACATCCAGAAGGCTCTCCTTGGGTGCTGCTGCGTTCCATCTGCCGAACTGGTCATTTTCAGGTCTGCCTGATCCCAGGAGCAAGTCTGACAACTCAATTTTTTCGAAATGTTTATTTATTTTTGAGAGAGAGAGAGAGAGACGCAGAGAGTGAGTGGGGGAGGGGCAGAGAGAGACGAAGAGAGAGAGTCTGAAGCAGGCTCCGGGCTCCGAGCTGTCAGCACAGAGCCCGACGCGGGGCTCCAACTCAACGAACGGTGAGATCGGACCTGAGCCGGAGTTGGACGCTTAACCGGCTGAGCCGCCCAGGCGCCCCGCAATTTTTTTTTTTTAAGAGAGAAAAAGTACATGTCCAGGCAATGGCCGCCTTACTCGTTTGTATGCAAACAAGAAAAGTCCTTCCGAATACAAATGCACGTGATTGATATGGAAGGCATCGTGCTCGCAAAGGGCAAGAAAACATCTCAGGATCCTTGGTTGGCTGGATCCCAGTGTGTGGTAGACCACGAGATTTTTCTTGACATCTCTTGGGTCAACCATCTTAACAACTTTTGTGCAAATGTCTCAGTCTTCTTTTAATGCTATGTTGAAAAAAAAAA